CAACTAAGAAGTTCTTGCAAAGCAGATTAAAAAAAACTATTTGACAACATCAGAAAGCACCATTTTGCTTGCATGAAAATATACATTTTTTTAATAAGAACTTTTATGTGACAGAAATGAGAGTTATTGTAAATTTCCAACAACTTTTACTAAAATCTTGTGCTAGAAAAATTGGAAATAACATATTTGGATTTCAAAATTTAAAAATGTATCAGATGAAAAGTTAGAAAAGAATATCAAAAATTAATATAGGAGACAAAATTTATTCCTCGAAATAAATACTAAAAAAAGATGCAATAAAGAATTTTTTTTTTAAATGATATCAAGTAATATGTAGAAACTCTCACTCATTTCTATACATTATATACTAGTTAGAAGCAATTTAAAATAAATAGATGTAAGCAGTATAATAACACTTCATAATTTTATTTAAAATAAAAAAAAATAATGGTTTCATATATAGCACAACTTAATGTAGAAGAAACAATAGAATAAAAATGTTACATAAAAATTTTAGTTTTAAAGTAATTAATTGGTATCAGAATATAATTTTTCTTTTGATTAAAAGCAGCAATTAAAATACCATTTCAGTAAGCATTAAATATTCTAATAACACAAAAAGTATCAATTGACATCCAAGAACTTTTTCCATGCATTCTTATACAAAAATAAGTATTTCATACTGAGAACTAAAATCAACTTTTAGAAATCAATTGATAATAAAAGTAAAGAAAAATAGGCTTCTTGTTTACTTTTATTCTTTGATTTCCTTTTTAGTCTAATAACTTTTTTTCCTAAGTTAATAATATCTTAATTTTTATTTTATCTAAAAACAACTCACTTCAATTAAATTTGCTAAGTTTGCTTTATCCATTGTAGAAGTTGAAGATTGATTTTCCAAACCTTGGTTTCCATTTTTAGACGCTGAAGTGCTTTGGGCATCTAAATTGCGTTTTAAATCCTTTCTCTTATGATTTCTAGTCTTTAAACTATCCACGCTACTATCTATAGAGCAATCTGATAAATTGTCACTGTATGTCATCTCTACCAGATGTTTATGGCATGATATCCCAGATACAGAAGTAATTGTAGATATTGCAACTTTTTTTTTCTGAACGAATGATGCAGCCATATATGAATTTTCAGATCTTTTTGAATTACCTCCATTGGATAGGTCAATCCCTTGAAAAGTAGACTTTTTGAGTAGCCTTTTGATACTATTTTGGTAAGAACAATAATTTTCCTACAAGGAGGGAAAAAACATGTATCACAAAATTCTTTAACAACATTTTTTAGACAGCTTATATACACTGGTATCCAAACGTTAAGCATAATTGATAATTATGTGAATAAAGAAGGAACTGTAAATCAGAATGGCGGGAAACGTGATATGCGAGAGTAAAATGGTTATAAAATAAGAAAGCAAATCAAAAGAACGATAATAATTAATTTTATTATCCAAAATAGCAGTTTGAAAGAAAACTGAGCATAGCAAGGGTTCACACTTTAAAGAAAAAATGAAAGAAAACATTAAATAAAATACTGATGCTGCAGTTTAATAAGGCGCGTGGTCACCTCTGACAGCCAGGCACGTTGCACAGCGATTTACCATACTTGCTATCAGATGATGAATGAGTTGTGGGCTCAAATGGTTCCAAGCTTCTTGGAGAGCTCTCTTCAGTTCTGTAACGGAGCTTGGTGGGAGCGAAAGGGCTTCAATTTGTCTCCCGAGCATATCCCATACATGCTCGATAGGATTTAAATCAGGGGAGTTCGCAGGCCACGACATGCGCTGGATGTTTTCCGTTTCAAGGAAGTCATCAACCAGCACCGATCGGTAACATGGCGCATTATCATCCATGAATATGAAGTCAGGACCGACAGCACCTCGAAACAAGCGAACATAAGGCTCAAGAACTTCGTCTCTGTATCTTTGACCAGTCACAGACCCCGTGTCAAAGAAATGGTGGTCTGTGCGGCCGTCCATCATGATGCCTGCCCATACCATTACTCCCCTTGATGAAAAATGATGTCTTTCCGTTATGTTTCTTGGTTCAAAACGTGTTCCACGTTCTCTCCATATCGTTACCCGACGAGAATCACTACTCAGACTAAACCGGGACTCGTCACTGAACATCACATTGGCCCACTCTCCCACACTCCAATGTTAATGTTTCAAACTCCAGTTCAAACGAGCGCGTTTATGCGCAGACGTGAGGGGAAGGCAAACTGCTGGTCTTCTGGCATACAGGCCAGCATGATTGAGTCTCCTGTAAACAGTTTGTCTCGAAATTAGTATTCCTGTGGCGACTGTGAGCGCCGAAGCCAGTGCTCTGGCAGTACTGCCCCTCTGACGTCGCGCACTTATTACCAGATATCGGTCTTTGTGCCATCATTCACCTTGTTTGATGGTTAACAACGTTCCTTCGCACAGCAGTTGCACGAAACTTGTCTAAACTGCCTATGCTGCGTGAATCGGTTTCTCTGCGTTCCGACATGCGCAGGTGTTTCGCGCAGGACGTGGTCGAATGAAAAGTTTTGCATAAACCCAATGTTTCTTCTTCAGCCAATTAATATTCGCAAGAAATTTGGAATAATTTTACGAATATTTACTCCATGTTTTTCGCATTTTACGATTTATGCTTAAATTTTGGACACCAGTGTATTTGTTTTTATTTTACAAAAATAATAACTGAAATAGTTCGTGTTAAGTCAGCCAAGTAGCATGATAAAAAGTCTCGATCCCTGTTCTTGCATCTTTCCAACCCATTGCCAATAATATAAATACCAATTTCTTCAACTGATGCCTCTGACTCCCATTTAAACGTAGTATAGATTAAAAATTTTAAAAACATTACACAATTCAAAGAAAAAGTTATATAAAATGCATGAAATTGAGAGATTATTTAAACTAATGTTTTTAAAATACAATTTTTGCATACATCAATAACAAATCACTTTTCATATAATAGAATTTTCATGAGTTTCAAATAATATTTATTAAATACATAAAATAAATTTATTTTGTGATAAAAAATTAATACACAAAAATAAATTTTAATTCTCTATTAGCGATTGAGAGGTTTGAATTTCTTGCAAAATAAACAAAGAACCATTATATAACCTTGATGAACACAATTCTGCTTACATGAGAATGTACATTTCTTAATAAGAACTTTTGAGTGTCAGAAGTGAGTGCTGTCATAAATTTTTAACTAATATTAGTTGGAACTCATGAAAGAACTCATGTACTGGAAGTTATTTAAAATAAAAAGATGTAAGCAGTATAACATTTCCTGGTTTTATTTGAAATAAAAATAATTTCTTATATAGTACACATTAATATAGATGAATTAAAAGAAAGTTATAAAAATGATACATAAAAATTTTAACTTTCAGGAATAATAGACATCATAACATAACTTATCTTTTGATTAAAAGCAGCAAATAAAATACTATTTCTGTAGGGATTTTGAAGAATTTTAGAGGTTAAAACAATCTATCAACAGAACAGTGTATAGCTTTAAATATTCTAATGAAAAGTTTTAAGCAATTGACAACCAAGAAAACTTTTACTCCATATTCTAATACAAAAATAATTTATTCTGAGAACTAAACTCAACTTTTAGAAATTAATAGATTATAAAAGTAAAAAAGAATTGAGTTTGTTTACTTTAATTCAGTGATTGAATTTTCAGTTTTATAACATTTTTTATAAGCAAGTTAATAATATCTTACATTTTATTTCGTCTAAAAAAATTAAAATTCACTTGATTTAAATTTGCTGAAATGAATGCAGCTATTCAAGAATTAGAAAATGGTTTTTGTAAAATCATATAAAATTTATATATACAAAATTAAATATAGATTGCATTGTTCTTGTAAATTTTAAAATCAGTCTCATCGGGGTTTTTTATTCTATTCCCTCAATTATACAAGCTCCTTATAAAATAACTGAAGAGCTAACAATGTTTAATCTCTATGGGATGTTGAAAGGATAAACATATCTTAGGTAGAAAAATAATTGTAGAGAATAGAATTTTCTTTCTAAGGTGAAATGCTAGAGCTATATTTGAATCTTCAGAGCTCTTTGGTGATATTGAATTATTGAGTTTGGATAGGTCCATCCCATGTTGTGTAGAACTTGGCTGGTGATATTATTTTAGAAAGCCTTTATTTGACTGCAAGGATGGCAAAAAATATCGATATCAATTTGAAGTTATTGATCTTGGTGGCCATTAAACTTTAAAGAATGTTGAGTTGTTGAAGTAGAAGTAGCACTTAGGTCTTGGTTTCCACAATAGAGATCAAGACATGCTCTAATTTCTGGTGATATTTTGAAAGAAAATGAAATATTCTTACAAATAGATTATTATTATTTTATATAAAGCCGGCGAAGGTTGACTGGATAAATTTAAAGAATTTTGGAATTTGATTTTTTCAAAAGAGTGGAGAAAAACTGTCTGCTGATGAAAATGATATCTCTAATTTTAAAACAAAATTCAACAGAAAATAGTTGAGTTAGGCTAAACATCTGAACAAATTTTCTATGCAAATGAAACTGGTCTTAATTAACTGCAACTTTCATCAAAAATATTTATACTGTCTGATGAAAAACATGTGCCTACCAATAATGAGGAGATTATTGGCAGCTAACATTCCATTAAAGTAAGCTGATATCAGAGGATTTATTTCAATGAAGTTTTAATGCTCAAAGATATAAACAAAGCGGTGTGAAACTTTTATAACAAAAAACAAACAAAATTGAATCTTCAGTTTTATTATGTTTTATATGTTATAATGTATTTAAAATCTTTTATTATGTTACAAAATGTACATTCATATATGTATTTTGTATTTTTACCTCAGTTTTAATTAAAGTTTAATGTAGTGCAATGTAGTGTATATTTTCTATTGATCCTCTGTAGTCAGGACACTGTAATCCAACAAGTATCCAGCCTCATAGATGACCTCTAAACACATAGATACAGAGGTTCACTGTACCATGCTGAATATACCGGTTCTCGTTAGATCACCGAAGTCAAGCATCATTGGGCGCGGTCAGTACTTGGGTGGGTGACCACCTGGGAACACCGCGTGCCGTTGGCAAATTTGGGACCTGAATGGCCGAGTGTCTAGCGCTCTGGCGCTCGGTGCCACAGGTTTCGGGTTCGAATCCCGGCGGTGCCATGGATGTTTGTAGTGGTTCGGAATCCACTTTAAGCCGTAGGTCCCGGTCTCCTATGACTGTAAGAGCGTCACGGAGCAAAAGTCAGGCTTCTACCTACGGGTGCTCCATCACAACAGAAGCTGCTTCCTTCCCCTTCAATCATGAGTACGTATGGGCTCGTGGGCTTGGCCAGCCAAGTGGGATAAGAAACAACAACAAACAACAGGTCCACTGTATTAGCAAATCCATAAACTTTATGAATAATTTATAGAAGTTAAAATCTATTCCTCAAAATACACTACAGCAATAAAAAAAATATCAAGGGGTTCTTCTATTGAGGTGACTACATTGGATCAGCTAAAGTACTTTAGTAAACATATGCTTTGAATAAGTCCAAATGGATAAACATCCCATTAAGACGTGAAAAATTGTGCTTAGAATTCAACTTACATGCATCAAAATGAATCATCACATCGTGCACTAGCTTTGTTTATTTATTTTAAGACAAATTTGAAAATAAGTAGCTACCATTCAGAAAACAACCTCCACTATAACACTGAAAAATTTTAAATCAACTTTGATTTTTTTGTGTAAATTTGTTGTAAATTCCTTATGAGTTCTAAGAATATTAACGAGAAAAACCAAGCATTGAGGAAAATGGTTATGATCACCATGCAGGTGAAAAAAGACAATTTTGAGAAATACGAAAGTGGCAAGCATATCCATATACAGTTTTCTAAATACCATGTATTAGAAAAGTCTGTGAAGAACAGAAACAATATTAAATCGGATAACATGATGAGAGTTGCAAAATCAATTACCAAACACAGATCAGGGAACTGTTGAAACTGAACATGTTGAAAAATTATTTTTCTGTTATCCAGATCAAAAGCAATGCTCTGGAGATAGCATATCAGAAGGGACGATTTGCAAAAAGTCAAAAAAAATTTTTAAAAAGAAAGCAAGAACTAACCAAGAAATAAAACTATTTAAAGTCAGCTATGGCTGGCTTGACAATTTAAAAAACCTGGCATTGACAGTTGAGGCATAGAGAGAGTACCAGTACTGATAAAGATGCCGCCAATGAATTTGTTAAGAGTCTGGGAAATTGTAGAGGCTGAGGGTTTTGTTCTATAATATATTTTTATAATAATGAAATACGTAAAAAGGCCTAACAGAATTTATATTACACAAGATATGTAGGCATAGCCAGGGCAGAAGTCAATGAGGAATAGACTAATAACTCTTGCTATGTGGCAATGCAACTAAAGTTTCTACCAATTTAAGACTCTGAAAACCAGAGGACCTTTAAGAAACATAATATGCAGAAAACTCAGTTACCTACGATGAGGAAGTCACAAATAACATGGCTTGGTTAAAAAGGGAATATTTTAGCAAGTTATTTGGACTGAGTATAAAAAGTTATTTAGAGGAAAATTTGCTCCAGAGGCGGTTGTGGATACCACTGAAATTTTTTTGAACTACAAGACAAATATTTGGAAAGAACATGAAACAAATTAGACTTTTCTTCCCCTCCCTTCCCCTCCACTACTAGCAAACTTATAACAAAAAATTTGAAACAAAGCAGCATATGCTCTACTCCCAAACGCTGCATTTAAATTAATCCTTACAAAAATTATGCAAATTTTTTAAACATGTTTGTTTTATAGACAGAAAATTGAACAATTTTGGAAAAAATATACATGTATTTTCGGAATGTGAAACCGGAAATTTCCGGGATGCCAACATAAAATTTTTGTAACTGGTAGTGCCCAATTTTCGGAATGTGTATCTTCAAAATTTCAGATCACAAACACCTTTACCGATCTTTGAAGGCTCTATCCTATAATAGACAATACTACAGCTCATCCAAAGTTATGCACAGTAGGAGTTAAGACTTTATCAGCCCGACTCGTGGCAACGTGCACCGCTGGTGAGCATTAGGGTAGAGGTTAAATCCGCTGATGGTTTTGTTGTAGACACTATTTCAAAAAAACGTGGAAACAAAAAAACCTTTGTGATATTCAGCATCTTGCCTCATTAATCGGACTATCTGGTGGGAGTTTTCCGGGTTTTTTCCCATGTGATACGCAAATGTGGGGTAGTTCCACCTCTCCCGGAAGGCACTGCCTTCATTCTTCAGCATCACAGAGCCAAGTCAGACTCCTACCTACGGGTGCACCATCACAACAGAAGCTGCTTCCCCCTACTTTCCTTCCTTCCACGAGACCACACCGGTTCGTGGACTTGGTCTAGATGTTGCTGTCTACCAAGTGGGATAAGAAAAAAAAATACTTTATCACTGCAAACTTCCTTCACCAAATAAGATTCTTTTCTTCATCAGTACTACTCTTTTCATTCAGGTCATCAGTAATTTTAAAAAACTCTCACACTAAAGCACTATTTTAGGGATGCTGTGCTCTTCACCCTTAAACAAAGAATTAACGCCAAGAGTGTGTTGGGAAAATTCATTTACTTTCGTCATTATATAAATATCATTGACAAAGCCTGGCAGGAATTTCAAGCCAGAAGTGACTTACAAGGGTAAGCCTATGCCCAAAGTGGAGGCTATTGTTTCTCTAGCAGAACCCTGGGTCTGAATTAAATGATAGCGGGGAAGGAGGGATTATAGGCGAGTCACAGAAAAGAGCTAAAACTTAGCAGAAGAAACTTTAGCAGGAACACTATACAACAGCCACACTTTCTTCAGACTCAGAGGAGATGGAGGGTGTTGTTATTTCATTAATCATCAAAATCTTTACTAAATTGATAGCTTTCAAAACCTTTTTAGAGAATTACCATTCTAATAAAGCTGTAATAGTTCTATCTGTAATGAATAGACAAATTCTCACTTAAAAAAAATTTAATAACTTTACAACGGCAATTGCTTTAATAATGCAAAATAATAATAATAATAATAATATATATATATAGTAGTAATTCTAAAAACAAAAACAAAAAAACTTCCTTCACGCATTTTATTTGCTTTTATTAATTGATTTTATTTTCACACCTTACTTCTTTTAATTAATTTAATAATAATTTTCGAATGAAATAAAAATTAAACTAATTTGAAGTAAATTTGTTAAGTTTGCTTTACCCACCGTAGAAGTAGAAGGCTGATTTTCCAAATCTTGGTTTTCATTTTCTGATGTTAAAGTGCTTTTGGCTTCCAAATTTCGTTCGAATTTTAAATCCTTTCTATTCTTTTTTCGAATTGTAGTCTTGAAACCATCCATGCTACATGTAGAGCAATCTGACAAATTAATACTGTCTGTCATCTCTACCGGATGTTCATAGGATGATATCTCAGGTAGGGAAGCAATTGTAGAGGATGCAACTGTCTTTCTCTGTGGCAATAATGCAGCCTTGTTTAAATCTTCAGATCTTTTTGAATTACCCTCTTCAGAAAGATTGATCCCTTGATGAGAAGAAAATATGTGTTTCTTGTTGATATTCTGGTAAGACTGATCATTTTCCTACAAGGAAAGGAAGGAAAATATTATGAAACCTATTAGCATTATTTTTCAGTAGAATCTGTCATTTTACAAAAAGACTAAATTGTTTTTTACATATATATTTTCAACATAAAAATTATAAATCAATTAAGCAAAATTATGAGTAGTTTAATAAAATACATCTTTGCAACAAAAAGTCCATCATATAAATATCATTGACAAAGCCTTACAGGAATTTCAAGGCAGCAGTGAATTACAAGGGTTTTAAGGCTACGCCCATAGTGGAGGATATTGTTTCTATAGCAGCTCCCTGGGTCTGAATTAAACGATAGTGGGGAAGGAGGGATTATAGGAGAGTCACAGAAAAGATCTAAAACTCAGCACAAGAAACTTTAGCAGGAACACAATACAACAGCCACACTTTCTTCAGGCTCGAGGAGATGGAGGATGTTATTATTTCATTAATCATGAAATTCTTTACTAAATTGATAGATTTCAAAACCTTTTTAGAGAATTACCATTCTAATAAAGCTGTAATAGTTCTGTCTGTGATGAATAGACACATTCTCACTTAAAAAACATTTAAATAGGTTTCAACTGCAATTGCTTTAATAATGCAAAACAAAATTATATATATATATATATATAGTAATTCTAAAAACAAAAACAAAAACACTTCCTTCACACATTTTGTTTGCTTTTATTAATTGATTTTATTTTCACACCTTACGTCTTTTAATTAATTTAATAATAATTTTGGGATGAAATAAAAATTAAACTAATTTGAATTAAATTTGTTAAGTTTGCTTTACCCACCGTAGAAGTAGAAGGCTGATTTTCCAAACCTTGGTTTTCATTTTCTGATGTTAAAGTGCGTTTGGCTTCTAAATTTCGTTCGAATTTTAAATCCTTTCTATTCCTTTTTCGAATTGTAGTCTTGAAACTATCCATGCTACATGTTGAGCAATCTGACAAATTAATACTGTCTGTCATCTCTACCGGATGTTCATAGGATGATATCTCAGGTAGGGAAGCAATTGTAGAGGATGCAACTGTCCTTCTCTGTGGCAATAATGCAGGCTTGTTTAAATCTTCAGATCTTTTTGAATTAGCCCCTTCAGAAAGATTGATCTCTTTATGAGAAGAAAATGTGTGTTTCCTGTTGATATTCTGGTAAGACTGATCATTTTCCTACAAGGAAAGGAAGGAAAATATTCTGAAACCAATTAGCATTATTTTTCTGTAGAATCTGTCATTTTACAAAAAGACTAAATTGTTTTTTTACATATATATTTTCAGCATAAAAATGATAATCAATTAAGCAAAATTATAAATAGTTTTATAAATACATCTTTTCAACACAAAGTCCATTATATAAATATCACTGACAAAGCCTGGCAGGAATTTCAAGACAGCAGTGACTTACAAGGGTTTTAAGACTATGCCCATAGTGGAGGCTATTGTTTCTCTAGCAGCT